AGATAATCTCTTAAAATGATTATTTTGGTAATTTTTTTTAAAAAAAAACACTTTTCAACCCCTTTTTACGGTTGTTCATCTGGTCTGATTGTTCGATAGTCCAAGTAGCTATCACTTTTCGAGAAATGTAATTCCATTATGGATTTTAATGCTCCAACCTTTACGTTTTTAAATGTGGAAATTAAAAAAAATATGTAAAGCCGATAGGATTGAAGTTGAGGTGGATATGGAATTCGGGTTTAAGGAGAAAAGGCGCATTTATCATGTCTTTTGGCTGTGGACAGGTTGAGATTGCTTATTCGAAATAAAATTCATTTATTCTTAAGTTTTAGGTCTGAATTCCTGTTCAGAACCATTTGAAATCTGTCTGACTTTGAAGTTGCAAACATAACCCAAGAATTAATAAACAGTCAGCAAGTCAAAGTACACGACCAAATCACATTCAACTCTCAAAAATCCTAACCTATAAGATCGCGATAAGAATAAAATTGGAAATAATAGCGGTGGTTAATGGTCTTGAAAATGTATTTTAAAAAAAACTCACCCGTGCATTCAAAGGATTGAATTTTTTCGAGTTCTTTAAAATAATTATTTTTATATCCAAAACGTTTTATGACATTTCTGTTCCTCAACATTCAAGCTGTCCTTTATAGAAAATTAAATTTTACAACAACTGTTTTTTTTGTTATCTCTAAATGCAATTTTCCATTGCTGCAAATGTGTCATTTCATTTTCTTTCTTTTTGTACTCTTTCCAATCCATTGATTTTCATGTTCCAATAGCATCCAGATGTGCCTTCTTCTTTATTTCTAAAACACAAACTTGATATGTACGATATTCATGAATATTTTTCATTTGTTGGAATGAGAACCGAGATCTTTGCCTTAAATCCATCTCATTCTTCACTTAATTTAAAGGATTAGTTTTCAAGCTGGCGGCATTATGTTGAACTGGTTGTGAAACATTTTAATGTACTGATGTACATGCCTATGTGTTGGAGTTGAATTTAATCTTTATGGTGTCTGAAATTTCAGAATTTTGAGCTCTTTTCGTTCGTAAAATGATTGAAATTTGACGATTTTTCCTTAAATTTTTAACTGTGTTTCAATTTTGAAATATTTTTAAATAAGTTTAAAGCTTGTTGAAAATTGTAAAAATAGGATTTTCCGATTGTTCATGTCATGTTCACAGATTTTTGATCAATTCACTCAAATGATATCATTGGAGAATTCAGGTATAAGGCCAATCCTTTTTGTCTTGATTAATAATCTTTTAAAACCAAAAGTCCAAAACCCAAAGTTAATTTTCAAAACCTTTATTTTTTTGCATCCTCAACTGGGTAAAATATTAAGCATTTGTGAAAATAATGAATGAATGAATTGTGAATGAATAAAAGAAACATAAACAAGAAGAATGAGAAAATCGTTATAATCACAATAGATGCCATTTAGTCGCTTAAACAAATATCTTTTAATGCTGATTATGACTCGAATTGAAACTTTTACATTCCATTTTAAAGTAAGCATGAGCAAATGTTTAAAAACCGGTTGTGAGATGTCTTTTTAAGCGAGGGTGTTAATGAAATGTATTGTTTTATGAAAAAAAGGGTTAAATGCTCCCCTCATTAAAGACTTTAAAATGATTTCAAGTAATTTTTCTTCTCTTCAAATGGTTCCTTCCTTATTGTTCAGCACAAGGAAGAGAAATTCTTGTCGGGGTGTTATTTTTTATTTGGCAACGCTTGCAAATGACACGTTGGTGGTTTGAGGACTTCTTTTTTTCGACTCAAAAGTCGTGATGAAAAAATTGTGGCTCTGCCGCTCAACAAAACCTCGCATTTGGGTATTCTTTGCCATCATAAATTTTTAGTCTAAAACTCTCGAGAAAATTATTAAAATTAGAAATGACTTTCTTTAGAGTCATTAAGACTTGTGGGTATGAGGCGCATTTTGCTAGGTTTAAGATATTGTAATATTGGGTACAGGGAATCTGCAAGGCATTTAATTGAGAATTGAAAATCAAAAATTACCTTAAAACATCTTGATGCAAAAAAATATGTTTCAGGATATTAAAAGTCCAGCAGTGATTGTTTTTATTCGGTGACTGGAAGTCAGAGTATATCAATATAAATCATATGCAAAAGAACGAGTGAAGCCTGCACAACCTCTTACATCGACATTATTTCTGCACCTGTAACTCTTTGAAGCTTATAAATTATTATTCTAGGCCAGTTTCTAAGGATACTCAGAGGAGACAAAATAAGCATAAACCTCCTCCAAAAAAATTCCATCTCTTAAAACTTAATAATAAATTTTTTCCATCTCCTCATCACTAAGTGAAGAATGAAAAAAAAAACTTTTCATAGTGAGATACATCTCATCATCTTGAATTTAATTTACAAAAGTATAAAAACCTACCTTCACAATTATGTCTGTATGTGTATATAATTTCATCCTTAAAAGTGCGAGAAAGCAAAGAATTTTTTTGGGGGTTGTTTGGTTAATGTTGTAGGTGTTTTCAGTCATTATTTTGACAGAATTTCACAATTTTTTTGCTGTGCCTGTTTAAGAAAAACTTTCACGTTGTGATGAGTGACAAATTGCGGGTTGCGATGAGAGTAAAATTCTTTCCCCCTCCACACTCGTCTCATTTCAAGGATGTTTTCATCATTGTGTGTGGGTTTTTCTGTGCTTTTAATTAATTTTTTCAGTTCCTCTCACAATAAATGCTGGGAATGAGACGATAAGAACATTTAGTTTGAGGAAACTTTTGCAATTGATTCGTGGCAGCTCATTAAAGTTTTTAATTGAAAGTTTCTTTCTTTATGTCTGCTTGTGATGCTCATCAACTTAAGACTAGATTCTGATTTATTTTCAATTTAATGTAGTAGGATGAATTCATTGAAGAATTTGAGTTCAATGAGAGGAAGAAATGTAATTGAAATGTGCAGTTATAATGTGCAGTCTTCAAAGTTCAATGAATTTTCAATTAATGAATGAAGGAACTGCTATATAGGATGTAATGAGAGTGTGCTCAGGCAATTCAACAGAATTTCTCATTTAGCTCAGTTTATCAGTTGACTAAACTCAAACTTAACTTGAATCATCGAAATCATGTCATTCATTGTTTGTTAATAAGCGTCCGATTCATTGGCGTATCCATTTGAAGTCTGATAAGGATGGAGCTTAATTCATCAAAATCAATATTTTTGTCCAGTTTCAGAACTTTAAATAACCAATGTCCTTGAAAATTGTCAATGACTTCTTTTAAATTCATTCCTCAGCATCTTCCCAATACCAATTTTAACAAAAAGTCATAAAATTCAAGTATGAATGTGTGCACCACAAGTGGAGAGCCGCTAAGCAACAAAAACAGCAATAATAATAAATTGAAGAAAAAAAACTTTACTTTCCAAAACTGTGCATGTAGTTGTGCAGTTTTCTGTCTCAAATGCACAAAAAATGAAGAAAATGTTGTGCAAAGCTCCTTGAAATTCCTTAATGAAAATGAGTTGTAGGTGGTTTTTCTTTTTTTCTCGAAAGTCTCTCACCATTTTTTATGTCAGTAACAATATAGCAAGTCAGAGACAAAGGATGATTTAAGAGAGAATCATCATCAGCATGCACATGCTGCTCTCCCAAAAAAATAAAATAAAATCCTCTCAATTCTCGCAAATGAATGAATATGTACATAAGATAAAGTTTTAAGTGGTTTTTGTGTTACTATTATACGCTAGCTAGCTATCGCCTCTCTTTCTCATGCTGCTGCTTTTTTTTTCAAACTCTGTGGCCACCAATAGACACAGATGGACGATGGCTTGGAATAAAAAATTTCCCTCTAAGCCAAAAAATGCCGAGAAGGCTCCTTTTTGCCACAATATTCAACCATTTTTCGTGTGCACACATATTGCCACTGCCATACACATTTATATTGCGCCCACAAATGAATATATATATTTTCATCTTGTGGGTGGGCGATTTTTGCCGAACAGCAGTACGTTTTTTTAGTTGTGTGTGCGACGCTCTTACTCTCGTATACAACTTTTTATTTTATTTATATACACAACTTGCTAGTTCGATGCTTTTGTGTCTGTGCTTTTTAAGTAAGAAAGCATCTTTTTTTTCATTTCATTTGATTATATTCATAGCACCTTTTTTCATTCTTGTTGCTTTTGCATGACAGAGAAAGAAAGAGAGAGAGAAACCCCTTTTTATCGGCACTCACGATGGTTTCCTGGTTTCCTTAGCGATGCCACACGATTTGGTTTCTTTTGCCTTCTTCCTTCAAAAATCTCTCTCGCTTTTAACCTCTTTTTGCATATTTATGTAACCTCCCTTTATTTATCCATTTATTTCTCCACTATTTTGTGGATATATCTAGTATATACTCACTTATACACACACAAATGATATGGTTGGTACATGAACACGAGAAAAAAAATTACTTTAACCAATGCCACCATATTCATTGTATTTAAACATACATACCTAAGACAGATATTAAATAGAATGGGAACTTGATTTTCGCCTTGTGATGTTTACTTATCATTAGTAACGTTGGATGATGGAGAGGGAAAAATCTATCCTTAAGAGGTTATTGTGGAATGGCATTGATGCCAATTCTTGAGTATTTGGCTTGTTGTTATGAAGAATTCTGTTCTTCGAGGGATGTATTGATTATTTTTTACTGAATTTAAAGAGACGTGTCTGGAATTTTGTGTGATAAAAAAATTTGTAACGGTTATTTGGAATTTGAATATTTTTTGCAGCAATTAATAAAGTTTTGTTGGCTGCAACTCGTTAATCTTGCAGTTTTTACATTTTAAGATCAATCGATTATTCTAGACTAAAAAAATAAAAGCTAGTCCTTCATAGCTAAAAGTTCAAAGTTGGTACTTCAAATCTAGTATTTTGCAACTAGTACTTTACAGCTATTAGTTCAAAATTAGTCCTTCAAATCTAGTATTTTACAACTAGTACTTTACAGCTAGTACTTCACATCTAGTACTTTACTCACTCAAATATTTTAAAAAATTTCACAAAAATTAAAGCTTGCAGCATCAGTGACGCAGACCCGCAATCAATATTTTCATTCATAAACAAAAACAACAACAGACAAGGTCAATAACACCACGTTTTCTAACCTTTTTATTCTCATTTCCAGGTTTTCCTCATCATTTACCCGGACTACCCTCATCACAAGCAGCTCATTTAGCAGGAGCTGCAGATTGGAGAATTCTTAATAATCGACCATTTCCACCATCACAATATTTTCATCATCATCCACATTTTACGGCACACAATATGTTGACGGCAGCGATTGATCGAATGGACCGAAATTTTATAGATGGAAGTAAGTATACAAGCGTTGTTAGGTCTAATTTAATGAATTCTATTTAATTTTACGCTCTTTTTTTCCTCGTCCTTGCTATTTTTCCGACTCAGATAATTCCATTGCGGGTCAGACAAAATTACCGATGAGTAGCTCACCGAAAAGTTCACCGGATGTGATGGATGGCGGAGCAACAAAAATTACAGAAATTTCATCATCTAAGGACGATGACCTTGACAATGATAATGAGAATATTTCTGTAACTGGAAGTGGATCGCCGGATATATCGTGTGTAAGTGAGTCAGAGAATAATGGCGATGTTAAAATTGAGTCCGGTGCTTTCACATCGATAATTCAAAAGAGTCGTAAATCCGAATTTATGTCACAATTTCCTGTCAATTCACACTTTACGGGATCGACAAATCCAATGATAAATCATGCACTAGCTGCTCATTTATTCTTTCAAAATCCTCTCTTACCGCCACCAAATCAATGGCTTTATAATCAACTGTACAATAACTATCAAGATTTTCCCTGGCTGAGACATACCTTAGCAACAAACTCATTGGTTAATGAATCTGCAGAAAATTCATCAGAAAATAGAAATGAAGCTACTTCTTCGCCGTCATCGTCTGGTCTGAACATTGTAAAGCGTTCAATTACTCTGCTAACGAATAATAACAATAATAGCGAGAAGGAAAACGATTCAGATATTCAATCCTCATCATCACCACCAGTCTCGTCTACAAAACGTTCACCAAGTCCTGAAATTCAAATCGAAGTGATTAAAAATAAACGAAAAAGGTCTGCGAGTAGTGACTCGGTCAGTAAAGAGAACGAAATGACACGAAAAACTGAAAATTTTATTAATCGTAGTCGTTTGGGACCTGGCGTGAAGCACAACGACGTATGGCGACCTTATTAGACATGCGATTTAATTTTAGACATTTTTACCGACGGAATCTTCTTCTTATCATATCATCGAGTCAAATGTTTTAAAAGTTGATACAGAGACAAAGAATTATACAGAGTAAGAGGCACACAGTATGAAAAATTTGCATAGCATGAATGAAAAAAAAAAGTTTTGTTAGAGGAATAAAAATGTACATAAATTTTAGAAGTATCGTCGACATACACAAAAAAAAGTCCTTTAATATATAAATATATTTAACAAAAAAAAAATCATGTAAAGTTTTAAAGTTTTAAACAAAAAAAAATCGTATGAAAAATAAAAAGGGATAGTAATAAAAAATGTAAAAATGTAAATTTAGAGGATTTAAATGAAAACTTTTCCGTATTTTTTGTTTTGCATAGTTTTTCTCAGTTTTTTTTTTCTATTTTCAGTGGGTTTTCCCAGTTGGATTTTTCCAGGAACTTTATTTGAAGATGATTCAAGCAGGCAAACTCTCCCCATTTTGGTATCAGTTCTGTTGAGGTTTGAGAAACACTTGGGCCTGGAATTATAGATCGTCTTAAAACTTTAATACTTCCTGCAATAATCATAAAATAAGTCGTCATGTCCAAAGTAAACTTCAGAAAAAAATCAATCAAAATTAAATAATTTCCCGACTGGGTTCAAACAATTTTCTATTCATTTTTAGAAAGGACATACACAAAATAAAAGCAGAGAAAGGAAAAAATATTCAAATCGCTTTGTGGAAATTTTTTCCTCGATCAACATCTGCTGTGTTGGCTTTTAAGAATTTCCATATAAACATTCTCATGAACAACGTCTGAGTCACCGAGATCATTATCAAAATAATTGATGCCTGCAATATCCAGATATAAGTAAATAAAATGAAAAAAAAAATCAATTTAAACTTTACATCAGCCATCATCAGTGACAGTGACAGAAAAGTCAAAAGTCATTTCAAAATGAGGTTCATTGTTCATGCGATAATGGAGTCGATTTTGAAGGCAAAGAATAAGAAAAAAACTTCTGTTATCAGCAATTGCAGTGGAAAAAAAATCAGTGACTCGACATTTCTTCTTCTTTTCTCACTCGTTAGACATCATTCATTCACTTGCTTTACTTTCACAACATTTGATTCTCATTCAGCTCTCATGATGAACACAATTGTAAGGTTGAAAAACTCATTGTCAGTTGTTATGTTGCTTGGGAAGGAAAGTCGAGAAAGCAAATGAGTTGGGAAATTAATTTAAGGGGGTTGATTCATGGTTTTGGGGGGTCGGTGCTGGTTAGAATCAAAGAATTACTGCTTAGAATAAGCTTTGGAGCTGCTGACACCCAAATCAACTTCCTCGACTAAAATTAAATCTCAAACCCATCTCTTCAAAACCCTGCATCAAAAAGGAAGCAAAACTAAACAGCAAGAAAAGAAAAAAAATCCTCCCTCAGCATGACAATGATGAATAAGATTTTTTCTTGCCGTTGATTACAGCAAATGTTGGTGTCTGGTAAAATCACCGATAATTTTTCTTCGTTTCTCTTTCATGCCACTTTATTCAGTTCTACTGGTGCTGTTTTTTCATTTCTCCCATCCAGCACTCGTGTGATTGATAGACGTCTTAATTAAAAAAGTGTAAAAGCTAGAGATATAAATTGATGTGAAAATTTAAAGACGAAATTTCTGTAATGTTCAATTTTTTTGGTGATTTACAAAGTGGTAAGTTAAATGTTTTGTGTCTTATCGGATGGGAAATTTGAATGTTAACGAATGAAATAATATTCAAAGATAACAGATGAAGAATTGTGGTGGAAAATTTGAGTTTTTAACTTATTGAAGTCAAATACGAAATTGTTTTGTGAATTTTCTTTAAGGTCGTCTCATAATGACTACTAATTCTTTGATTTTGGACAACTATAATTCATTGGTTGTTAAATCCAGAACTCGTTAATTTCCTTCCAAGCTCCTATCAACATTTAAGACAAATCAGCATGACATAATAATTTCATTATGTCTCACATTTTCCAAACAATCTTTTCACCTTGTTATCGCGATTCATCATGCGTAAATTTAATTGGCACTAGCAAAGATTTTTCCAAGCCAATGGCGTCTACCTGTCTATGATGCGACTCATAATTACATAAAGAAAGAATTGAAAGGAAGGAGAAAAAGATGTTAAAAGGAGGATAGACAAATACATTTTGTATTCAACACAACCCCACATCTTGATATGGTTTGATGGGGTTATTATTGAAGCATCTTGAAATATCATGTTTAAGTAATTATTAAGCAGGAAAAAAGGGATGAAAATTTATAAAGGTTTTCTTATTCATTTTGAAGCTATTATGCTACCTATATACCTAATAAAATAAGAAGCAGGAAGAAGGGCGAGTGTGGAAAATTTTATTTCCTTTCGTGTTTTTCAACCTCATCGTAGGTATTGAAAATCTTATATTCACATATGTGAATTGTTAAATTTTTATTTGAATTGGAAGATGAAGGAACAAAAGAATTGAAGCTCAATAAAAGGAAGTTTTTAAAGTTTTATGAGCACATTAGTTAATTAATGAGATGAATCTGCGGGTGGTGCTTTGAAATTAGTATGGAATATTGACATAAGAAAAGGAGTGGAATGATAGCTAAAGATAGATTAGGATATATACATCCTGTTACAGTCATACAGCTTGTATCATAGCTTAAGAACCCCCTTCGATACTTTCCATAGTATAGCTAGTTATTGAACATTTATTATAAAAATCCTCCATTTTCCCCAAACATCCCATCACTAAAGAACATAAAATATTAACAAGCATACAAGCACACATCTTCCAAAACAGAAACGATGAGCATGAAAAAAACATGAAGAAACCAATTTTCATCTTCAAAGAAATTCATTTTGTTATTGAAGATAGAAACGAATAAGAAGAAAAAGGAGCAGCACAAAAAAATTCATTCACATTCACATGTGTGACGAGCGATAATTAGATTGCCAATTAAATTTTAAAACTTTCCTTTTTCTCTTTCACTTGAGCAGAAGTTTACTCTTGTTATAATATTTAAGGACATAGGAAGTATGGTAAGAAATGTACGGATGAGTGCACTTTGTCGGGTTTATAGCGTTGCTGTTGATTTTTTGGAAGAGTTTTTTGGATATAAATTTCTTAATCTTTATCTAAGACATTTATCAAAATTCAGCAAATCCATAAAAAGTGCGCCTAAGCATCTTTGCCCATCTTAAATCCAACTTCTTATTTCATCACATCCCCGACCCCTTCTTACACTTCATGTGATGTGATGTTATGTTATTTTAAGATCTTTTATACAAACATATATAATACATAAAGAATGTTATAGCATGGATTGTGATGATGATGTCGTTAATTTAAAAGTTTTGTTTTTCATTCATTCTTAATTTTCTTTGAGAAATATCAAATTAAGGATTATAAAATAAGGAAAGTAGGCATAAAGGAAGAATGAATGTGTACGAACATGAAAAAAGGTTTAGGTGTCAGTGATGAGCGAGGTAATTCAATTTTCAAGACGAAAACTTTTTCCTTACTTCTAATTTTCTTTGTAAGAGGAATAAGAATTGAGTTGGATGGGAAGTACTTTGGAAATAGGTAAGCACGCATTTTTGAGTATAGTTTGAAGGCTAAATGATTTCAGCATATGGTAGAGCAAAGTCAAATGGACAAAAATCAACTAGATTATCAAATTGGTTCAGAAAAACAGCCAGAAAACTTTTCCATTTTCTTCTAGTTTCACTCATCTTAAAAATTACATTTTTCTTAACATTCCCATCAACTAAATCACATAGACAAAGCCAGTTCTAGGAATAGGAAAGAGGAAAGAGCAAAAAAGTTAATCAAAATTTCATTGCGCCATTTGTTATATTCTTAAGTCCAAATCTAAGTAAATTTATATATTTTTCAGGCCTGTGTAGTTCTCGCCAATTCGATGATTTATTTTCCAAAACACTAACTGCATATATCCTTCTTATTGTTCATCTACCAAAAAGAAAGCAGGGCTTCAGGTTGATTAATGGTTTTGCTTTTTTTACCCAAACCGATTTGTTACATTTCAATAAATCATTTTTCACACTGCCTTGCGGCAATATTTTTCCTTTTCCTTAAAACTTCTTTTCCTTTCTTTTTTTCTGGTTCCTCGGATGGCGCAAAAGGAAATTCTTTTTCTCTCCAATTTCTACACATGTTACAAAATATTTCTCACAACAAAAAAGAAAGGAACAAAAAGACTGCAAAGTTATGCGAGAAAAAAAAATATTTTGTTTCATGAAACACAAGAATGTGCAATAGCCTTTACTTTAGACGTATTGTGTGTATGTGAAAGTGAGGAAAAGATTTATCGTCTCTTGACAGCGTTCAGTATATTAACCCGAAAAAATGAGGGGAGTGCAAAAAATGATAAACTGTCTGTGAATTTTCTCTTCCTTTACTAAAGAAATTCTCAATCGGGTCAATAGAAGCTCCTTGCCTTACATTGTGATTTCCCTTTGATCTGTGACTTTACACTTCATTTTACTTGTCTGTGGAATTCTTTTTTTCCTTCCCTACGACTGTTCATGATTTATGTTGCTTTGATAAACTAGATCAAAGAATCGCACGTAGCTGTTACTTTATTTTTTTTTTTTTGAGACAGGTATTTTGTGTGGAATTTTTATGAATGCAATGTAAAAGTAATGAATATCCAGTTATGTATGCTGTGTATTAAAACTATCATGATGCAATAGTTTATTGGTTAAATTATATTTATGGCACGTAGAAGAACAAGCTTCTCATTTTCTGATAGAATATATTGCTTCATCTCTGAAATAGAAAATTTATGAAACATCCTGACTTCTTAATTATGTTGATTAAATATGTAACTCATTTGCTGGATGGCAAATAGGATTGCATAAATCTCTAAATAAACATGGAATGTGAAACCTTCTATGGTTACTTTATACCTTTTTTTCCTCATTTAACCTTTCCATAGATACGTCTAGTAGATTCATCTCTTTTTCCTAGTCTTTTTGTGGATAAATGTGAGGCACTTTAAAAATCCTCTCCATTTGATTAATAAAAGCAAACATAATTTTCATAATTTATGAATGCTTGAGATACATATCTCTTATTTATTACAAGTATTATTAAAGGAAGGAGGCACTCGGAAGTATATTTTGGTGACATGAAGTCTGTTCGTGCATTATTTTGTAAAGATTGGATGACAAAGATTTGCATCAAAAATTGCACAATCAAAATTCATATTCAAATTTTTCTTCAATTTCCAATCCCCA